CGCACCAGGGGTGTTGTTTACGAAAATGAGAGGACGAAAAGCGAATGTCCAGCGCTTTAACCGGATCACAATCCGATGGTGCACATGGGCTAGCTCCAGTATGCTGAAGGAACAAATGGCGTATGAACCAATTTTTGGTCACCGGCTACCATGGGACTGCATCTCCTCATGATGCTCCGCTGCCCTGTGGATCAGACCTTCAGGTCAAAGGCTCCGGGTGTGGCCCGCTAAGGAAACCATCTGGTTCGGTTTGGGCACCCGGGCACTGTCACAGCCCACCCACACAATTTTGTGTGGCGCATATATATTTGGTGTCTTATTGTACCAATATTTATGTGTTCAAACAAATAAATAAATAACAGCAATTAAACTGTCTAATTTAGAGAATTGAGCAATGCTAAAAGTATCGACTTGAAATACAAATCTTCTTCATTTCAGTATTAATGGTAGTGTTAATTACTATGACTGTGTGTATGCTCGTTAGAATGGATTCTGAGCTATATCAACCATGTTGTTCAAATATTGGTTGTAATATATGCATGGATCGCTGTCTGGTACTCTCTACCTATCATCAAGTTTCAGTTCACCACTCAATAATTTTATAGTTCGATCATATGCTTTGGTTTGGTTACCTCTAAGTTTTTTCAACCTATTCATACTCCAGCAAACAAGTGACTTGTGCCAGTGTGATATTAGTTCTTATTGTTTTTCTTATTATTACATTTACCGGTTAATGAAATGAATAATAATCCGATTCAAGTTCGTAAACTTAGCTTCAAGCCACACTCCTATTGTGAAAGTTAATGATATTGCCTAACAGCTGAAACCAAAGTAGATAAAATGAGACTCAAACTTTTAACTTATTGACTCAAATTCACATACCCTAACCATTAAATGATCAACTATGATAGAGAATAAGTGTTCATTTTAAAATATATTGACCATAATTTAGTAGAAGTTCTTGTACTTCAATTGCTTTTTATCCTCATTACCTAAATGGACTGTGTCTATAGATTAAGTCGATCAATTCGCAAACTGAATATCAAATTATAAAATCAGAGAAAACCACTCTAAGTTCATAAAAGAAGCACACACCTTATTTGTTTATAATCAATATTGTTTTGTTCCAACTTTTTTTACACTGTAACCTTGAAATGTTTTTCTTGCATTTTGTGTAGTAATAGTAGTAGTAGTAGTAGTAGTAGTGTGGTGCGCGCTACTTATATTGAGATAATAAGTAGTATATAACGCGAGTTTCAAACGTAATGGCTGGCTGCAGAAGATGGGGAAAAATCAAGAGAGGAAGAGCGGCAACACAATGGAATTTGTATGGAAAAACATGAACAATGAAATGTCAGTCAATGGATTGATATTTGAAACAGGAACAGTTCAGTTTAATATGAAGGATTAATATTTTGCAAATTAACGATTTAATATATGGTTTTTCTATTTTACCAATTAACTCTGTAATTTGAGCTAAATACAATTCGGTTGTCCTCATCAGTGTTCTGCCTCACAACATTTGGTGTCGCTGCCTCCACTGACGATGAAGATCCCATGGCCGAAGGAGTTTGAGGACGGAGATGTGCTGAGCTTCCTGAAGGAGTTTGAGGCCGTGGCGGAGCTGTTGGGCGTGAAGGGGCCGAAGGCGAAGTTGGTGGTCCTGGGGACGCTGCTGAGAGGTAGGGCGAAGGCTGTATATGACAGCATGGACGGTGCTGGCGGGAAGAACACGTGGGAGGCAGTTACGGAACGGTTGATGGCGGAGTTCGACAGCCCAGTGGACAGGGAGGAAGCACTGCAGAAGTTCCGGTCGGCGAGGTTGTCTCCCGATGGTGACCCACTGGTGCTGGCTGTGGAGCTCACCAGGTTGTTACGCCGCGCGCTGCCAAACCTGGATGAGGAGTCGGAAGCACAGTTGCTGGCGTCCCAGTTTATGGAGAGTGTCCCTGTCACCGTCTCTCAGCAGCTGAAGTTAGTAAACGCAGCACAACCTATGGATGTCTGTGAACTGGCGAAGGTGACTCGTCAGGTGTTGACACGAACAGTAGCTCCAGTTGGGTACGGAAAGCAGGAGACGAGTGGTGTCGAGAAGAAGATTGAACAGCTAGAGCGTGAGATTGCAGCATTACGAGTAAATAATAAAAGAAACGATAAATGTTACGCTTGTGGAGGGACAGGACATTGGAAGGCAAACTGTCCGACAAGACGACGACGTAGATATTTTAGACGATATAACGTGTGTTCTTTCTACCCTAGGAATCTGGGGGTTGTTGCATTAGTAGATAGAGGGGCAGTTTATACGAGAGTGAATATAGATGAACGGGATTTAGTGTGTCTAATCGATACAGGAGCAGCGGTATCGTTAATAGGCAAAGAGCAATGTAAGACAATCAAGCCATGTACATTAGCTGTCCACACTATAGGAGGGCACATGTTAGAGGTGTTGGGGGTATCATCAGTGTTCTGCCTCACAACAGTAGTAGTAGTAACAGTAGTAGCAGATTTCTTCGACCTGAATGATAATGCATATATATATATATATATTGAATGATGAAAAGTTCGTTTTGTATGGTCTATGTATATGAATTCATCAGTGACCCACTTTAGCTTCCGATTAACATCATAGGATAAGTCAGGATTGTAATAATATCACCTTAGGAATTAATGTAAACTAAACATTTACTGAAGTTTTGAGACGAGGTTATATTCTTTAAGTCTGTGATTCTTTTTTATTGTCTACTATTTCCTTAGGGCAACAACATTTCACTTGCCTTTTCTAGTTGAGAGCAAACAATCTATATTCTAATACTTACAACAAGAAAGATACAACTTTAAGATACTGAAGCTTATTCAAAATTAACACAAAAATCTAGCACTAGACTTTGTCCATTAGCACCGACTGGTTGAAAATGGATTAATTCGTTTACTCCAATTTGAATTTGATAAGATTATTCAATAGGCAATACTCTATCCTGTTAACATGCTATAAGAATATCGAACCATTTTAAGCAAAGATGGATAGTGGCTAGCAGTGGACTTGTCAGCTGGATATACCTACATCACAGAGTTGATGTTTATTCCGGGACTCGAACCCAATACCGTTCGTTTCAAACGCCATCGCGTTATCCACTTAGCTACTGAATCCTGAAAACCACCTACATGTACAATGGGGTGAAGTTTAAATTCACTTGGTGTTGCTATACTTGTATCTTCCGATTGTTATTTAGAACTGCAATTGATCAGTCTCATGTTGGTATATGTGCATCCTGTGCGGATTGCCTTGATATAGCCTTAAAAAGCTTGTGTTTTAAATAACATTGGGAAGATACAAGTAAAACAACACCAAGTGAATTTATTATTAAAGCAGTTTAGCCATTTAATTATTAACCACTAGATGATAGTTGATTTGTGCAACTTGATAATATCATATTTACGTTCATACCAAAAAAATATATGGCATATAGTTGAATACATAAATAAGCATCTGGTTACTGAGTTAGTTTTCAAAAGTATGAATAATTAAGGATTTACACACATAAAACGTCCACCTTGTTCGCTATTTGTCTTATTGTTATCATCATCATTCAAATTTCAAACTTCAGAAAACTTTTCTTTCATCGTGTACAAAGTTTTCAACATCGTCTTATCTATACTCTTTCGAAGGGTTCATGTAAATTTAAGGATGGCAAATCAATTGATAAAGTTGTAAAACTTCATCAGTTGAGGTGGCAGGGACATGTGTTACGTATGTAGAACCCAATCACCGACTGCCCTGACGTGCGATGTTTTTTAGTGTGCGACTAAGTTGGAAGAAATCTAAGAGCGGCCAGACCAAAACATGGCACAAATCCATGAAGTCACTGACAAGTAAACTGAGCCATGTTGATAGATGTAGACTACCTGGTTGGGATCCGCGAGATGATAGCAACCAATGGTGTTAGAGACTATGAATGAGATGGCTCAAAATCGTTTGCAATGGCTCAGGTGCACCCACTCTTTGTGTTCATCCAAATTCTCATCTGAATTCCTCATGTCCTTTATTTTCTTTCCAAATTTATTCCATTGTATTATACTCCTTAAATAATATCTTCAAACCCTAATCTTTCAGATTACTGCTTATACTCTTACCACCTCTACCACTTCGGGATTTGAATCGACGATTGTATCTGTGTGCTAATGTGGTATGGTAACTCGAACTGATGTACGTACGTACGAAGCTACACATTGTTACTGACTGATTGACTGATATAAATCTAAGTAACATACTGAATAAATGAATCAAAATGATGTAAAACTATTTTGTCTAAAACCTTATTTATTATATTTTTTTTGTTTATTTATTTATTTATTTTAACACATAAATATCGGTACAAGAAGGCACCAAATACATATGCGCCACACAGATCTCATTTGATAAGTGTGAGGGCTGTGATACTGAACGGGTGCCCAAACCGAAGCAGGTGGTTTTCTTAGGGGGCCACACCCCGAGCCTTCGACCTGATCCACAAGGCAGTGGAGCATCGTAAGGAGATGCAGTCCCATGGTAGCCGGTGACCAACGATTGGTTCATACGCCATTTGTTCCCGCAGGATACTGGAGCCCATGTGCACCATTGGTTTGGGATCCGGCTATAGCGCCGGACATTCGCTTTTCGTCCTCTCATTTTTGTAAACAACACCCCCGCCACGAGAAGGCAGTGAGTGAGACTTCCCTGGCAGGGGCTGTATACGCGTGGCCATATGAGAGCATTTCGAGAGGGGGAGCGGACTCCCCCCACTCTCGGCCGTACCAGGGCATTTGGGGGCAAGTACAAAGCACATTATTACTGACTGATTGACTGATATAAATCTAAGTAACATACTGAATAAATGAATCAAAATGATGTAAAACTATTTTGTCTAAAACCTTATTTATTATATATTTTTTTGTTTACTCTTCTCTCTATTCTTGTTTACGTGTTACCATATATCTGTGTACATGGATATGTATGTTCATAGAACAATTAACAGAATATCAGCGTTCATTAATTTCATCACACCTGAAAGTACTTTATTAGATGCTGTACGTATGTTACAGGCATAAAGTTCATCGTCTTCCTGTATTGATCCAATCAGTGGTAATCCATTGCACATATTAACACATAAACGTGTATTGAAATATTTACATATTCATGTAAGTTATTGTCCATAGTAAATGTTTCCTTCTTTTTACATTGTTTGTTGTTTTTATTATCTTTTCGTA